TAAGACACGCTTTGCCACAGGAAGTAGTTTATCTACTTTGAGCTAGTATTTTCGAAAAGATGTATGGGACATTTTCTCTGGCTAACTGTTTTTATATAATAAAAAATATGCTCATCAGAGCATAGCAAAGTGCTGTTTTAACTGTTTGATGAGCTGTTGTGTATCAACATGGCCTGGAAATGCTTCTTCTGACTTCTGAGCAGCTGTGTAACTCCTCTGAAGATCTCCAACCTGTAAGAAACACACAAACTAATTTCGTATATCCAAACACTGCAGTATTTGCATCATATATTCTGTGCAGTACATTTCTGATGCTCGCAAGTGTTTAAACATAGATGGTCCTGAGAGTGAACAAATAAAAGAATCGGTATGGAGGCTTTTGAACTCAGGGTTATGTCCCCCTTACATCAAGGGATGAGAAGAAAAAGACAGAAATGTGATTTTAATGGGAGGGATGCTTCAAGACAGTAACTTTATATCCCATTCCACCTGACTTCTTGGAGAATGGACAACAAAGTACACCATGCCCAGCGCTTGAAGTGAGGAGGAATAAGTGGAAGATTTGTTTTTAAACTCCATAGAAGTTCTGTTGTATACGCAGGCAAAACACAACCAATCAGGCCTCTGTAAAAGCTGCAACTCCATGTGATCTCCTGCTTCCTCACAGAGAGGCACAACAGTGTTGGAGAGCTGATGTTGCTCCTCTGCTGCTTTTAGAAGTGTGGTTCCACATTGTTCCCCACTTAGGGAACTTTATTTTTTCCTAAATAGCCATCATTTTTTAGAAGGAGGAAGTGTACATAAGGAGAGCATCTCAGGAAGCGGGTTCAGCAAAAACACCCCAAATGTTTGGGAACACATCCAGTAAAAGTGACAGCTCCTGGGTGGAAAGGGAGAAGCTATGGAAAGTGTCAGTAGGAGGCCTCTGTTGCCTGTGCATCAGTCAACACGGAGCTTCAGTGCAGCAAGAATTCTCTGAAGGGAAAGAAACCAGGGTCCTGGCCAGAGAAGTTATGTTTTGTGAACCATGGCCTTACACTGAATCTAAAGATTGCATTACCACACTGCATCAACAGCTAGCTGATCTGGCCATCCGTCTTCTCCCACAACCTATGCAGGTTCTTTGTGCAAAAGCTATGTAACAAGACATTTGCAGACTAGGATTTACTCCTTAATCAGTAAGCACAGAATGCAATTATTCAAAACCATCTTACGTTTCACAATGGAGAGGATACGCTTACAAATTAATGGGTTGTTCTCTCCTTGACGCATGTACTTTAGTATCTGTAGGAGTTGGGCTGCCCACACAACACAGACTCCTAACAGAATCTTGAAGGTGTAGGCACAAGCAAAAGAGCAATTTTTTCTTGTGAAAAATGTAAGGACTTGGACAAGTTTTTCTTTATTAACAGGAATGTTGGACACACTGTTAATTCAGTGTCTGAGACACTCTGTATGAAAGAAATCAACACACAAAATTCAAAGGTTGTAAAGCTGAAGAACAGACTTTCCTTTTGAGATCAGTAAGATCACGGGATAAATAAATGATATTCTTTCTATAATTACTGATAAATCACATGATACTATTTCACTTCACAGTCTGAAAAAGCCAACGACTGTAAAGACTGTACATGGAATTGTTAACAGATTGTTCATCTTCTGGGCATTTGGAAAATTACAAAGTTACTTTATAGCTAGTTGGCCTCACTTATTCTCAAAAGCAAACATTTGAATGACTAATTTTACACACAAAGCTTCTGGGTATTAAAATGAAAAAGTAACTTTAGTCTTCCTTGAGTTTATGCACTCTCTATTCTTTTGTCTTACCTATTTGGAATTCTCAGTAATAACAATAAAAACCCAACTTCCCCACCAAGGCTCAATTTTTAGATGACAAGAATAGGATAGCGCATTACCTTCTCTGAGAGTATTGCAAAATTGAAGTGGGGCTCATACATATGAGGTGCTAAAGATGAAGCAGTCTGCAGCAAAGCTCTTGCCTATGTAGAGAAAGAAAGAAAAATACAGTGAAATCTGTGAGGGAGGGAGGGTAACAAGAATCTAATGCAATTTTCATTATTCTTAAAAGAAATCATCCTGTGTTTTCTTTACTAGGCCTTTACTAAGAAAGCCATCTTCAACTATGTATGAGTTACACCAATAGTACATTTAGGCATAATGCAGTTTAATAGCATTGAAATGAATAAGACTTTTGGTTGAGTCAGAAAAAACATGTTGGGACTTACTCAATTAAGCAATTCAGTTCTAAACACTGAACAGACTATATTAATTGAAAAAAAAAGTATTTAAAGTCCCACCCCGCTGTATTTATCTGTTGTCTCTGACAGCGCTGTCTTAAGCATCCCTGAAAGCCTAAATTTTATCATAAAAATGACAGTCTTCACACCCAAAAATTTCAATAAAATTAACTCTTTTTTTCTGACTAGCAAAATAGTAGCATTAAAAACTAATGAAAAAATAAGTATCAGAATGTGCATTTTCATGCTGTAAATCCAATACAAAATTAAAGTCAACTTGTGAATGCTTTTACTAAAAAATTGAGAACTTCAGGGGAAAAAATACTGATCTTTTAAAAACAAAAGTGTCTGTAAACTGTTCGGGAAGGCAGAGTTAAGAACTTATTAAAACTCCCTAAATCTGACAACTCTGAGTACATGCAACAGTACTTATGAAAGAATATTGTGAAATAAACTAAAATCCAAGATAAGCAAAATATCTTCACATTTTTTATTCTTCTGTGCATAATTTTATTGCCATGATGATCCTGATTTTTCATTATCCATGTGATACAAGAAGAAAATAGAAAATTTTAAGCTAAAAACTAAAATAGACAGGAAACGATTATAATGGAAAGGCTCTGCAGTGCTAATTATTAGCAATCACAACCTCCACAACTGGACATAAGTTCCACCTAGGAATTAAATGTCTGTAAATTTACTGATTATGAAACTGAAACTAAACCCAAAGTTTATTTGTCACTGGAAACATCCAGTGCTGGGTTCATTTCAGTGTTTCCATGGCAATTGCTAGGTTATCCGAATACAGTGAACTTTGAGAATTTGCTCTTAAAAAAGGTATTTACCAGTCTTTATATTGTATTGTAGCTCTCTGATGTATATATGAATCCATCAAAATAGGCTTGCTCCCGTAAGGATTAAAACAAACCCACAGTAATTCGAACTGTCCAACAAATGCGTATTAATTTTCCCTGCGTGTGTATAAAAAATGAATGCCTTTAATCCACTGTGCATGTCAGTTATACATCTAAGTGCAATACAACTTAGTATACTCACATTAGGTAAGACGAACCACCAAGCTTACTGATGCAAAAGTATTTATCAAGAACCTGCTGCTTTGGGACAAAACTCTAAAGCAATCTCCTTGTTGAAAAGAATCTTCTAAGAGCTGATCTAATGGCTGTCTTCTGCCACCCAACACAAGTGTATTATCTACATTTATAAGCTGAATATATAGTCAAAGTTGTAATTTAAGTGATGATGACAGAGCGATGGGGTTTGTTTTGGGTATCAACTTAGAAAAAAGATCTCAAAAACTGTAAAGCCACTGTAAACCTTGTTTGTCTTTGATGAACCATTCGGCTATGCCTAAGAATGAGCAGTTTAATGGGAGATGGCATGGCAACGTGGAGGTTACACTGAAACACACATGAAAGTTATCCATATCTTCTGCCTGTAATAGTAAGCTAGACATTCATATGATGCCTCCACCTCAGGGAAGTGACACATTTCTTAAGTACAAAAGGGCCAAAGCAAGCATTCTGCTTAGGCTGAGATTCAACACCAACCTGTTCAATGTGACCTTTTTGCATTTCCAGCACAGCCAAGTTGTTGTAAGCTTCCGCATAATCGTTATTGTTGACTAACGTTAGCTTGAAACACTGGTAAGCCAGATTCAGGTCTCCTATCCCCTAAAAGTAAGATTGTATTTTAATTTGTGAAAAGACTGGAAACAACATGCATCTGTTTTGTTGTCTGGAGTATCTTTTCACCCATAGGTACTACCATGGAATACAAATTACAATAAAAACATGCTAATCAGAACCATACGTGCTTTCTTCCCAGACCCTCTCATTTGCTTCTTATTCTTCCTCCAGACAGAGTCGTTTCTCTCCAGCACAGAATTCCATGCTCCAAGTGATACTCACTTCATCTAATTTAACTTTTAGATGACTAAAGTGTCATCTAAAGACTACACTATCTGTCACTGTCTATAGTAGGGTAAGAAAAACAGAGATGTCTCCAGAGGGGAAGTCATCTTGCCTCTCTGTCTCTACACAGATTAAAAAAAATCACATATACGCCTAGTTTTAAGAAGATAAAAATTAAGGGAGATTAATTTCTTTGTATGGAGCAGCTGACTACTCTTTAATGCTCTAGTGTTATGACCAACGCTGATTACAGCATCGGGTTAAACATTAAAAGTGACAAATGCTGAAAAATATAGGCACAATAAATTTCAGTGTTTTAGGCAATGTAAATTGATGTGTTTATCCTAGTTGCAGTACAATCAAGATGAACAGTTGAGTTTCTCTCTGACTTAAGTTAAAGCATAATCAGCATTTGAAGGCAACTCATATTAGAATGCTGCCAAAAACTTTATTCAGTAACCTTATTCTGGGCACGCAGCTACACAGAAATCTAACACAACTTCTGGAAGAGCATCTGCAAAAATGGGCAATGAATGCATATTAGTGTAGAAATTTAACAAACTTTATCACAATATTTCTATAGCTGCCTGTGAGACAGCGGAACATGCCTTCTCAACTATGGCATACATAGTGCTTTAGTGTCTGCTATGTGCTGCTGAATATGTATTTTTGTGACAACAGAATTGGTCTAATGCTTCATGTAACACAAATAACAGCTCAGAGAAAAATATCTTGAACTCAATTTTTTTGCCAGATTAGCTTGTATTGCAGCAAAGGCCTTCAAGGGCTGTACGTGTTGAAATTTTTTTAGAAAGAAGGGACGGTGGGGAGGGGGCATCTTTCAGCAGGAGTAAGCCACATTCTGTGAAGAGGTACAGGACTTTTTTCTTTTGCCTCTTCCCCTCTACTTAAGTGCACATAAACCTTTGACCTGTACCGCACTTTATCCTGTACACTATTGGGTTTCAAATTTCAAAGTAGGGCAATGATTCCCTCCTAGTTATTCTTTTTCCAGTTTTTGTAAAATTATATTTATTCAGAAAGGTTGTTAATATTTTTCATACCACAGCCACGTGTCCCAAGTTGTACCACACATCTGCTGTCTCCTCCTCATTTTCAGCCAAAAACAGTGCACGTTCAAATGAAGATAGTGTCATATCATATTGCTGGGCATAGAAGCAACAGAGGCCCAGATTGTTAAAAAGTTGGCAGTTATAAACACCCATCTGCAGGAGCCGTCTAGATAGAAAGAAAATATTTGTTTATTTTTTTAGATTAATTTCAAGTAAGAGTTCTATTCTAAATGACAAAGTTCTCTCCTCCTTTCTCCCTATTCTGAGAGGGTGTAATAATCAAGTGTTATAGTCTTACACTTGGTAAAAGTTTCATGAAGGGCAGCGCAGGGCATTTTTGATTAGTAGAATCAAAGCTGCGCAAAACAGTCTTCATGTAAATTAGATAACTTATGTCTTTTTGACTGTGCCACATGATCTGACTTTACTGTAAGACAGGGCTGTACACAGACTTTCTCCATTTCCTCTTTCCAATCCCTCAACCTCAATCAAGCTGTAATTTGTTGCAGTTACTTTTTATAACTCTTCAGACTGCATTTTTTTGCTTGATTCCTGTCCTTCAGCACTGCTCTAACCAGTACTAGTACATCTACTATGTGAATCTCCATTAATCTTACATTTGAAGCATAACTCAGATTTTGATTCAAATTGATGTTAATGTGTTTTTTAGAATGGAGATGTTTTATAAAAATTCTGTTTATTAATATTTATAGGAAAAACAGATATGCTAAGAGGGCCAGGGAAAACGAGGGCTGCTGTCTGTAGCATGACTGAGAGTTTCTGAATCTAAAGCATAAAAGAGCTCAGGTCCAACAGAAATGAGACGGTAGGGCTTATATTGATTTAATTTGCTCTTAGACATAAGAACACGAGTCAGACTCCTTTGCACTCTGACTGTATCGAAATAAAAAGCAAGCAGCATCGTTTAACACTATCTTTTTATTGCTTTAAGCAAAACATGGGGGAACCCCAGCCCACATTCAAGTAAGGGATTTTCTGATCACAACTGCTCGTGACTTCAGGTGGAGTTTTTCAAAGACTACTCTTTTTCAAAGTGCTAAATAGGAAGTCCATGTGCCTTCTGAATGCAACTGAAGTTGAGAGCAAGGTCCAGTGTTCTCAAACTGCCTCATGCTGTGAAAGGCCTCATGCTGTGAAAGATCATTTCTTGTTTATTAATCAAATAATAACTGTTTTGATAATATTTGTTGATACTTCTACTTACGCCACATGTAATGATGACAAGTTTTTAAGAGAGAGATGTAATTATCACTGGCCGAGAAGATATGGTACGCTGATTTTATGGTGATATTTGTCCAAATGCTCAATCATCCTCGCATGACAATCTCCTAATATTCTTTTTTTTTTGCTATCAACATTACAAAAATCAACCCTTTATATTACCCTCCCACGTATTCAGTTCCCTCTCCCTCCCCACAAGTGTAGATACCTATAAAAGCGCAGAGCTATCTCAGGCTGGTCTGAATAAAAATGGTTACTGCCAATGCATGCAATGGCTTCCACGTGAGTATTGTCTTGTTTTAAGACGTCTTTATAGTACTCTGCAGCTGAGGAGATATTGTTCATTTCCTATACAATTAGAAAAAATTCAGATTAATTCTATATTTATCACTGATTTTTATCATAAAACTTATTAAAATGTCAATCTACTGAGTGCTTTATCTATGCCCTGTACAGTACTTAACTGAGATTAATTATGTATGCTCTTGCAGTTCTCTGATCATACAATGCAACACCACCAACTGGCATCCTCAGAAGTGACACACACATCCACAAGAAGAATGCATATTAATTTATCAGTGGTAGCTGTACCTGTCATTAACTCCATGCCATAGCTACAAAAAGAGATTTATTTAATAGAATCACAGAATAGTTTGCGTTGGAAGGGACCTCTAAAGGTCATCTAGTCCAACCCCCCTGCTGTGGGCAGGGACATCTTCACCTAGATCAGGTTGCTCAGAGCCCCACCC